TGAGCCTCACCTCATCCGATCGCCACCACATCTGGTTCTGACCGCACCATCCCGGCGTGCGGCTCGCTGTGCTGTCTCCGTTCTGCTCGCCCTGCCTGCACCTGGCGGTGCCGGCCACGTGACTGCAGCCGCCGTGCGTTACATGACGTCACGACGGAGCCCTGTGCGCCGCGCAAGCTCCACGCATGCGCTGCCGCGATGCGTTGCCGAACCTGACCGGCTCTGGCGACGCAACGGTACACGGTGGTGGCTCTCTACTGTGTGCGGTGTCTCCGCCTGCCGTCATGGTCAATCGGGCCAGTTTTTTGGTGTTTGCGTGTCGCACCGTCCAATGTCACCGGAGGGTCTGTTGGCTGCCGGCTTCCAACGGGACATTGTTTGTGTGCCTATGGTGGACGTCCCAACCGTACCGCCGCCTGCGCTGTCGCAAAAAAAATCCGCTTGCACGCGCTGTTGTCGGCGCAAAACACGAGCAGCCGTGCACCTTGCCCTCAAGTCCAAACAGACCTCGCCCGCACTACCTCTGAGTGGTGCACCAGACAGGACATTGGCGGACTGACCTGTCCGTATGCGCTTGGTGACGCATCAGAAAGTGTGCCATATTTCCGCCGTGAGGCCACAGGTGTCCCCACGACATGCCGCTCACGTCAGTAAGCCAGGCGCGTAACGACGCGCTGTATTAACGCATGCTGCACGTGTGGACAGCTGTCGCGGCGCTAGTGTATAAAACAGTACATCGATGTCTGTTATGTAATTCAGACTGCTTTTGAAAAAGTTGAGCATTTGGTTAATTGCTACCCAAAATATGTTGCCTCGAATGGTGGTATCTCTACATCACAGAATGCTGCGGAACGGCCTTTATGCAAGTAGGGAGCAGACACGCGATACGCCGAGCAGGCGGCAGAGCTGCGCCGGGAGAGGTTGCAGCGAGCGTTCAGCGCTGACCCGGACGCTGCGAGCGCAGTGTGCTGACCCCGCGTGCCGTGCGGTCCGTGTGTCCCCCGCCGCCGGCTGCCCGCACGTCTGGGTGATGGCGGCGCCGCAGAGCACGGTGCGTGCACCGCCGCCGCCCGGCCGGCGACGCTTGCGACACAAGGGGCCTGTCACACGAGCCGACTTTGAATGCCGCTGCCGCCACTGACTAGAGGTCTGACCGAGGCCTGGGCGCGACACCGTTTTGTAAGTCAGCTCTTTGGAGAGGGCAAGTTGTCGTAAAAGCGTCTTGGTCTCTCGAAAGCTGAAGTGGAGATTCAGAATGGAGAGGTGGAAGCTAGCTGAGACTGTCAAATAAATCTTTTTTCAGAAACCGTTTCACCGCATTAGGCAAGCACTCAGTTTTGGGATGGCTGCGCGTGCCGAGAACATGCTTTCATAGCTGCAGTTAATCCAGAGAGTTTCGTAACTGTGCCTACAAAATGTACTTATCCTTGGTCACTTCTTCCGGCAAGTATTTACACAACTGGCACGGTACTGAAGGCACAGTACTGAAGACACGGTACTGAAGGCACGGTACTGAAGGCACGGTACTGAAGGCACGGTACTGAAGGCACGGTACTGAACGCACGGTACTGAAGGCACGGTACTGAAGGCACGGTACTGAGACCGGTAGGCACGGTGTGAAGGGCACTGAAGTCCACAAGCGCGCATGGAAGCTGTGCGTCGTCCACAGAGACTGGTGTGAATACCTGCACTGCCTTCCGTATGGCATTGCCGCCACATGACTATAGTTTTGACAGGCCCTTACTTTGCCAGTCCTCCAAGCTGAACGAGGTTTCCGAAAAATGAAACACAACGCGCGGATTAAAATTGTTTTGTGCACGTCGTTGGCATTCAAGGCCTGTTTATGCAAGCCTCTACGTATGGCCCGCGTACGAAGGGTGGCAGGCCATGAAATCCCCGACCTATAATTACTGTAAATGAAGCAATATTTGACTCGCTGCACTACCACGACATCGGAAAAAAATTATTAGCCGTAGCCCAAATTTAACAATGCCCCCTCGTTTTGCATTTTTTCTCCAAGCCAAGCGATGTCTGCTCGGTAAACTGCATGATCTTGACATTGGTGAGACAAAGACGGCAAAGAGAGGCCCACCACTCGGAACAGGTGTTTGGCGGCCGGCCTAGAAGGGCCGACGAATGGGCCCGCCCGAACCGGGAAACCTCCTGCCCCGAGGCGTCCAGCCCGGAAACTTCGGGCGGCCGGCCGGCGGCGCGCGGCCGCAGGCGCCATCGCTGGGTGCGCGGCACAGACCTGGCGAGACGAGGCCATGGGCGCAGACGGGGATGGGGGATGCCGGGGGCAGAGGGATGCCGGGAATGAGGCGGCGTGATGATTGGACGACATTCAGCAGGCGAAATGAAAGAGGGTACGCCAGTGTGCGATTCGGAGCGCAGGGAAATGGTTCGTGGATGATTAAGATTAGTGGTGGAGGAAGCCTTGTGGGCCTTGCAGATACTGTCCGTGTTGGAGATACCAGGAACTGCGCTGTGCCTGAATCTCACAAATTGCAGCCAACGCGGTCACCATCCAGACGCGACGGAAAAGGCCGGTGTTCCGGCAGGCAGAGAACCAACGGGAAGTTGTGGGGTTGCTGATGTTGATGCCACCCCCCATGCGGGTGGTGATCATATTCCTCTGCTTCTGTCGTTCATTGAGCTTTGGGTGTTATTCCAACAATCTTCCTGCTTCCCTTTGTTTTTACTCCCTCCGGCTCTTTTCCCCTTTCTACCATCCCCTGCTCTCCTCTGGTGTCTTCTGTTCCCCTCTTTTGTCTTGGCATGTCTTGTCACCTGGGAACTCCACTATTGCTGCGTGTTATCATAAGCTTATAACTTTCAAGCATCGGACGTGATCCAGAAACGCCACAACGAACCATTGGCTGATACTGGATTAGGTGTCACAGAATGGTAAACGGATGGTATCGACCGAGCATGTCCAGTTTAGAATGTGTAATGGGTGGTAGGCCTCCGGCGAAGTCAGTGAACCTCGGGCCACGGGCCTCCGTAGGTCCGAGGTATACGGAAAACCAGTGGATTGAGTCTGTGTGACGAGAATTTTACAAACGTCTAAGCGCCTGGGGCTTTCCTTTCATGACATGGCCACGTCAATCAGCATTACCCAGCGAAAGGTGAACGCACGCATCCGGGTCTGACTGCAGGACGCTCGCCTGGTACAGACAGGCTGCTGTCGCCCTCAGAGCAGTCCTTTTGACCAGTCTGATTTAGATGATGCGCAGCTGCACAATCACTCACCGAGGTTCCCAGCCTTTGAGGGCGCTCAGGTTTCCCCGTGCGGTAATGACACGGCTCGGTGCCTCTCAGCGGTGCCGTGGCTCTAACTGCCATCGGTTGCGGCTGATGGCGTGCTGCGCGCTGGCATCCGGCCGCGTACGCAACTGGCGGGCCCCGAGCGTGCACGGACGGCACAATAATGCACCCCGTGCGTGACCTGGACGAGGCTTGGTTTCTCCCCAACGAGGGCCCCCGCTCAGCACAGATCTGGCTTCATGTCATGCGCTGCAGCGATTGACCTAATCTCAGAGGGAAGGAAGTGCGTTTTTTCGCGCGAATCGCGATGGGATAATTTGCAGTTCGTAGCCGCGTGGGACTCTATGAGGGCCGTTAGGATCAGTGCGTAGCCGCGTGAGACTCTCTGAGGGCCGTTAGGATCAGTTCGTAGCCGCGTGGGACTCTCTGAGGGCCGCTAGGATCAGTTCGTAGCCGCGTGGGACTCTCTTAGGGTCGTTAGGATCAGTGCGTAGCCGCGTGGGACTCTATGAGGGCCGTTAGGATTGGTTCTGCCGGACCAAAGAAGTACTCGGGTTCGGGGCTCATGGCCAATATGAAATTTGCTAACTGATTAACTGATGTCTTGTAAATTAGTCCATATCACTTATCGACAGCGTGCCCCCCCCCCCCCCCGCCCCTGATGTCTCTGCTTTGGGTAGCAATGATGTACCCTCCGCACCCCATTGTCCTGGCGCTATACACGCCCCCGGCGGCTGCCACCTGGCCAACACCGGCGGCAGGCGGGCAGGCAGCTTCACTGGTCAGGCTGGTGGCGCCGGAATGTGTGTCCATGCATTCGTCGGCCGTGAGAAGCATGCAGGCAACCGCGGACCGTGCGTGACTCAGCCAGTGACCTCCATTTGAGTAAAGGCTCCGAAATGTGTGAGACAGTTCTGAATGTCTGCTCCTTGCTGCGCATGACTGTCATGATCGTACACGCTGCCGGTACTTAGACGTCTGCATACCCTTACTTTATCTTTCCGTCAAATGTACGCTTTTCACCGCGGCTGCTTGCAGGGCTTGACAACATTGTCCTTGCGGCCCGCGAACCGAGGAAAGATCCGTATTGATCGTTGCCATGAGGGCGCGCTGGTGAAACTTTAGGCGTTTAAAAATGCTTTGGAGAGGGAGGTTGTTTCGTTCTAATTTGTTCCGTTAAGGTAAGCTTGTGTTCCAGGCAATTTCAGCTTTATTCTTTCTGCTGATAAAGTGAGAACTTCCTGTTAAGTTTTCCTAACATTAGCACTTGCCGAGAAGCAATGGTGAGAACCGTCCACAATCCCGATGTGTTCTGCATAGCGGTTTGTTAAGACCCCCAACAACATTTCACCACATTTTGCGTAATAATTCCTCTGGAAACATAAGATATGCATTTGGCCGGACTGAGTCGCACAGGCAACGGCTGTTGAATACACTGTTCAAGAGTGAGTTTGCTTGGTGACTTGGATGGCTTGTAGATGCTTTCCGCTGATGAGATGCTGGTTCCCCGGACGTAAGCTTGAGCCACCTGTCCATACAGCCTGGACCCCGTAAGCTTGAGCCACCTGTCTATACGGGCTGGACCCCGTGCATTCCTTTATCGGTGTTGAGTCGTCCCCCGGAGTAGGGTATGACTGGAACCTTTCATGCTGCAATCGGCTGGAATTTCGTTCGCGGTTCCCAAGCCCCGTCCAACAGTTTTCTGTGCTGCCCCGTTGTGAGCCGCCGCCCTCACCGTTCCGGTCCCGTCTTTCAGGACGGCGTTCGCCTCCTGGCTACTGATGAACCTGCTGCTAATCAACGTGCCCCGCTACGGCGCCTACATGATGGTGATCACGGGCGGTCTGATGTGCTCTGCTTGCGGCCTCTACACCGCCCTCAAGCCGAGCCGGCCGCTGGCCATCCGGTTCGAGGACGCCGTGCTGGACATGTCGCTCGGCTGGCAGTTCTACCTGGTGCTGCTGGCAGGTGTGTGGGAGCCTGGCCGAACTCAGCCCGCCGGCTGGTGGTGTCGGCCGAAGGCGCGCCAGCCCGCCCCGCCTCACGCCTGTTCTACGTCTGAATAAAGGCACGAGCTTCTTTTCGCATTCGATCTTATCGTGTGTATATACTTTCACCACGCTTGACAGGGTGTTGATGTTGTTCTTTCCGCAGGGGTCATTTGCATGCTGGTGGGATTGTCGGCGGCACTGGTTGACCTGGTGTACCCGCACACCTTCTCAACCATTCTCGAGGTCGATTTCGGCACGCCGTATGACCGGCACATTCTCATCGTCGAGTCGGATGAGTCCCGCAAACGGCGCACGATCAAGATCCCCAAGCTGGAGGAGCCCATAACCGCTGGAATCGAGGCCACGACGAAATTGATCCGGTAAGACTCAGCACCTTATCTAAATGCTGTCAGCGTCAAGGTCAGTTGGTTTGCCGCCAGGCAAATCTTTACCAATTTGCACAGCTTGCTGCTGCTGTAGCGGACCTAATGTGGACGATTTTTCCTTGTTGGCGGCGCCCTGGAACAAATTTTGCAGGCAATGAGGGTCTGTTCTCACGGTGCTCCTGGATTTCAGACGTCTTTCAAAGCGGGGCAAGGATGGAAGCAGCACCGACCCTCGCGGAGGCGTCGACAATGTCGCCTTCGAGATGGACCCCTCCGAAAACCCCATTGCACGCCAAGCTCAGCAAACGTAACGACTCGAAGAAGTCCAACAAGTCATTCAGCTTCAAGCGTAACGCCCATCACCTGGAGGTGCCGCAGGCCAGCTTCGACATGCCGGGAGCGGACCGCCCAAAAACCCTTTGGAGCGCACCGACTCCAAGGCGTCAAACGCCTCGTCCATGTCGACGAGCTCTTACCCCGCGTACGTCACTGCCGGACGGCGAGCACCCGACATTTCAAGAGCAGTTTAAGCGGATTCGGCACCGGAGACGCGGCGTGACTCGGCGCAGTCGAGCACGTCCAGCGTGTCGTCGGGCTGCGGGCGTCGGGCCTGTCGCGCGCCGGCTCGTCACGTGGCAGCAGTCACCTGCTCGCCGTGCCAGTCGAGAGCTGCCCGTCGGGTGGCAGCTCGCTTGCACCCGCCGCTCGAGAAGCGAGACTCGCGCACCTCCAACATCATCGTCTTCCACACACAGGACGCGCGCGGCCAGCTGACCAGGTGAGCGGCGCTGATGGACGCCTTGCGAGCGATCGCTCGGGTCTGGTTCGGTCAGCTGGCTCGGACTGTTCTGCGCAGGGGTCGTGGTCGTGGGGCCCTCCGATTTGACACGGCTGGCTGTTGTCAGCGACCGTCTGCTCCCTTCCCCGCCTCGGCTAACCATGCGTGCGTGAGTAATCCCTTGATAGAATGTCTTCTGTCGGCGACCGTCTCCTCCCTTCCCCGCTTTGGCTAACCGTGCGTGCGTGAGTAATCCCATGATAGAATGTCTTGTCAGCGACCGTCTCCTTCCTTCCCGGCCTTGGCTAACCATGCGTGCGTGGGTAATCCCTTGACAGAATGTCTTCTGTCGGCGACCGTTTCCTCCCTTCCCCACCTTGGCTAACCTGCCTTGCGTGCGTGAGTAATCTGGCGTCGAAACTGCAACATTAAAACCGTGGAGCCTGTGAGAATGGCATGTTAAACCTATTCGCAGAGTAATTTAGAGACTACCAGAGCGAATTGGTGACGGATCAGCCAGCTGTCGGTTTTTGTTCTCGGGTGAAAAGCGTTCAAACGACACTCTGTGTAACGCTGTCATAAATCCCATGCAGGCCCCCCACGTGCTGCAACAGTGCACGTACCCCTGGTATGTCATTCGAACGGCTTACATCTGTACCGGAACTAGTCTTCGCCTCCCACTGGGCTATGTATCCTTGCTCAGTGCCAGCCTGCCCGGGAAGTGCTCACAGCGAAGATTCCGGTTGTCAGGCGTCCCACTTGTGCAAGCCGCTGCAACCCCTGGTGCAACGACCGCCGTTCGTGACCGCGCCGCAGATTGCGGGCTCGCAGCTCGGACTTTGAACGCGGTTCTCGGCACGTCTGTCGACCCGCTGGTTGTCGGAGGCCGTCTGTGCGCCTGGTTTCCCCGCTAATGCGGCCGCTCCGCTGTTCCAGACGCCAATCCACCGAACCCGGTTCCCATGGAGCCGTAGAGGACGTCACACCGACGCCCCGTCCGCCCAGTCTTCAGGAGGCATTACGTACCAGCGTAGAAAATAGTGATGTGATATAGTGATATTAATGTGATCGTAGCGGACGGCGCGCCCAACGGTGTTACGTTGGCGGAGGCGGAGGCGGGCCGGTGGTGTCATGCCAGCGGAGGCAGAGGCTGGTGTCATGTCAGCGGAGGCCGGGGTACGGAGGCTGGTGTCATGTCAGCGGAGGCAGAGGCTGGTGTCATGTCAGCGGAGGCAGAGGCTGGTGTCATGTCAGCGGAGGCAGATGGTGTCATGTCAGCGGAGGCAGAGGCTGGTGTCGGGCTGCGGCACCCGGTGTTGTCTTGGGGCACGGCTGACGGCCTGCGCCCGCTGCTCTCACGAGAGCGCACCCGAAGCACCGCCGCCGCTCGGTCACGCTTCTACGCGAAGGGCTGCCAGGTGGACTGCCAGCCGCTAGTTCCTCCGCACGTGCGTGGGGCTCCCAGGATGCAGACCCGATGTTTTATTGGCGCGACCCTGGCGTCCAGTCTCTAGCGCATAATCGACCTTGGCGTTATGCTGAGAGAGCACGGTATAGCTTTGTGCGTCACTGCCAAGGGCGTCGTCGGGGGCAGGAAGTCTGAGGTCTTGGCAGTTGAAGAGATACGCAAATTTGTGGGTATGCTGTAAGGCCTGCGAAAAGCTGCCTGGCGTGCCTGTTCTGTGTACACTGCGTGGGGTTAAACGTGGCCACGCCTTCGGTCAAAGCAGTAAGTGCATGTTGATGCCATACGGTTAGAGGTCGAGACTGCCCTTAAACCGTTTATTTAACTAATTGTAACCACCTGCGTGACCTCCTGGACTAACGGTTGTGCGCTGTGGGCCCTGGGACCAAATACACGAATGGCTGGCTATCTGATCTGGCATTTGCGCTGTTCATAGAACTGGTCAACCATGTCGGACACCGCGCCGTGCTGCATGCCCTGGCGTGCCAGGAGTGGGAAACAAACGGCATTCTACTCACACAGGGGACGGCTACCGCCCCAATACGCACGCCCTACCTATTGACAGGACGCACTTGGTAAGGCTACACGGCACCGCGCGCGGCTGCCCGGCCTGCGAGCGTTGGAGCCGCTCAGGCCGCTGCCGAGGCGGCGCGGGCGACAGCGCACCGCCCGCAGTCGTCGTCTAGCATTGCATGTCGCGGAAAACCGAAATCGGCCGTCAGAATCGCCCAAGAAAGCGGCGGCGAAGGCTGGCGCTCAAGGTCCGCCTGACGCGGCGCGGCGGGCCGCCGGCGGCGGCGACGGCCAGACGTGAGGCGGCGCACACGGCGCCTGCCCGACCCGAGCACGAAACGGGCGCGGTGCCGCCCCCCGCTCCGCCGTCCCACACAGCCGCCCGGCGTCGGACCTTGAAGACGGGCGGCGGCTTTTCGGAGCAGACCGCAAGCTCCACAGGCGCGGGCGTCGGGAGTTCATTCCACGAACAAAGGGCCAGTTGCAGAAAATAGGCGGCTGTCACGATCTTGAACGATGGATCGGTTCGCTGCTAGACGTGACTGATGGCTGAGAAGATCACTGACGGCGCCATGGTACCAGCTGATTCGGCGGCATGTTGATCTAGTCTAGACGTGACTGATTGCTGAGAAGACCACTGATGACGCCATAGTACCAGCTGATCACTGACGACGTCATAGTACCTGCTGATTTGGCGGCATGTTGATCTAGTCTTGTAGATGGGAAGATCGTACTATAACGGTTAGGCTGATAACATCTGATATTGGAATAAGCAATGTAAGCGCCTGAAAGAGACTGCGACCTGAGGGCAAGAGGAAGAGAGAGGAGGTAAAAAAATGGAGAGGACAAGAGAGATATGCGGAGCGTGTAAGAACCATGTAAAGTAAGATGCTAGCATAGATGCGTAATGTCAAGCGGGCTGTTGGCCAATTTCCTTAAAGTTGGCATGCTGTAACCTCCTCAAGAATGTGTTTACGAATGCTGAGGCTGAATTCCACGACTCCAACGATATATAGAGTACTGCAATGACTCGCATTAAAGGCAATGCATCACGCGTATGAGGCCCGGCATGTCCGACGCCTTGTGGATGCGAGAATGCAGCTCACTGTCATGAAGAATGTGCATTTATTATAATAGCAAACCTAATATAAATTCGTCAGAATTATTAACGAATGCTGAAAACTGAATTCCGCTGACCACAGCGATACCTAGAGGGCCGCAATGACTCGCATTGAAGACGATACATCAGGTATATGAAGCGTGGCATGTCCGATGCCCTGCGGATGCAAGAATTCAGCGCACTGTCATTGACAAACACAATGTGTCAGACAGACAGACAGACAGACAGACAGACAGACAGACAGACAGACAGACAGGCAGACAGACAGACAGACAGACAGACAGACAGACAGACAGACAGACAGACAGACAGACAGACAGACAGACAGACAGACAGACAGACAGACAGACAGACAGACAGGCAGACAGACAGACAGACAGACAGACAGACAGACAGACAGGCAGACAGACAGACAGACAGACAGACAGACAGACAGACAGACAGACAGAAGACAGACAGACAGACAGACAGACAGACACAGGCAGACAGACAGACGGACGGACAGACAGACAGACAGACAGACAGACAGTCAGACAGACAGACAGACAGGCAGACAGACAGACAGGCAGACAGACAGACAGACAGACAGACAGACAGACAGGCAGACAGACAGACAGACAGAGAAAGAGACAGAGGTAGAGACAAAGACTGAGAGTCTATCAGAATGTTGCATTTCCATTTCGAAATTGGTTTTGATATTGCGCGGATGACAGTGCTGCATCATATTGTGATGTGTCGCATCACGGTGTCATATCATTCAGACTGGCGTTGACTCCAAGAAGGGGGTGAAGCCAAGAGGGTTGGGGTGGGGAAGACCTGCCTCTCTCTTAGCCTCAAATTTACCGTTTTCGCCAAAGATGGACTCCCAAAAAAAGTTAAAAATCGGCATAAACGGTAATAGCCACCCCTCCCCTTAAGAAAACACTGGTTGTGCCATTGCCAAGAAGTCACTGGTGAGGAATTGTTGTTCTATTGAGAGGACAGTGTCACCGGAGGTGGAGGAGGACGGGGGAAAGGGAAGGACACTTTCCCCTCCATCGTGGATGGAAGGGAACAGTTCTCCTAGCCTACCAATGTTCTTGCAGGAAAAAGTATATTATTCGTACAGATTGATGACATTTGGGCTTAGGAACGCCTCGACTGCCTTGGTTATTTTGCGCCTTTAGCTGTGTTAAGTATTACTCGTATGACTATCACTGCATGTAGAGAATGCGCATGCACATCACGCAGTAAGTGTAGCAAACCATCACAGATAGATTCTTCAGTGCGTGGAATTTCCAGTGTCACTGCCGAGGGCTACCAACTGACGAGAACCAATATGATTCTGAAACAATTTTCCTTCATTAACTCTATCGCACACTTCCCGTCAGCGATCGGGCTCCCACCAACGAGCGAGCGTAGCTCCAGTCTGCGCCGCGTGCCAAAGCAACGTTGG